GGGGGGGGGGGGGGTCAGGACTATGGATGTTTGACAGGGGAATAAAGAGCAAACCACATCTGGTCAGTTTTAGTTTAAGTAAGAGTTGTACTACACTCGCAACTGCATAATAATTAATATGAGCGTGCGAAACACAAGTTGGTTTTATTCACAACAATTCACAGCACGGATTGGTTTAGATATTACGATTTTTAAATATTAGAAATTTGTTATAAATCTCGGTTTCAGAATAACACTCTAATTAAAATTAAAATAACGCCATCTACAATTTATTGTAAAAGCCAATGGCTTGAACAAATTCGAACATTTTGTTGTGATCAACGAGAGAGAACAGATCTTGCATTTTTTTTGCCTTTAAAATACTTCCACATTTAGGCACCCACCAAACACCCACACATTGAGTTGATGAAGAGGTAAAACGTTGACAATCATTTGAGGGATGAACCTACTTATTTCGTGCAGAAAACGCACTATGATCCTGCCTTACTAAACCCTACAATTCTTGTCCCATTAGGCGTCAAAACAACCAGAGCTGAAGTCTCGACTGGCAAGAGAGAGAGAGAGAGAGAGAGAGAGAGAGAGAGAGAGAGAGAGAGAGAGAGAGAGAGAGAGAGAGAGAGAGAGAGAGAGAGAGAACAACAACAACAACAACGACAACAACAACAGCAAAAACAATAACAACAACAACAACAACAACAACAACAACAACAACAACAATATTAGCGCTAAGTTTTATAATTTCTCCTTTTGAGAGAGCCTCCCTCAGTCCAAAGCTAACAACAACAACAACAACAACAACAACAACAACAACAACAACAACAACAACAACAACAACAGCAACATCAAAATCAATAACAATAACAACATCAATAACAGCAACATCAATAACAATAACTACAACAACAACAACAACAATAACAACAGCTACAGAAAAACAACAGCAACAGGCCGTCCTCATCCCCTGTTGTAGAAGTTCTTGGTGGGAATGATGCCGTCGTTGCAGCGGCTGGAGGTACAGCAGAAGTGACACTCCATCTTGTGGGCCGTCATAAAGTTGTCGGTGAGGCAGGCAGGGTCCGAGGCGGCACTGGTCGCCTTACACTCCTCTATGGTTCCACATCTGGGAGGGAGGGGGGAGAGGG